ATGATAAATTAAATGACTAATTAGTTAGTTAATTAATCAATTAATTAATTGTTAATGTGGGGAGTTTGTATGGGTGTTGCCGTGTTGGTGGGTTAAACAGAGCATCTGGGGATTTCAGGAGATTATATTGTTCATCAATTAAGGGATTTAATTAATTATTAATTTGGGATTTTTGGGGACGCAAATTAATTTGTAGGTGGATATTTTTTTGAAGGCTTTTTAAATATTTGAGAAAGAGATAAACCACTAAATGTGGTTTGACTTTGGGGTTTAATTTGCTGAATGACAAGTGAAGAAATTATTTGCATGTGAAGTTTTGTGTGGTTTGTTTGTGGGCAGGCACCTGGTGAAGATATCGGGGGCATGCATTAATTTTTTCTGAAATTTAATAAAATGTAAGAACATAGGATACATATACTAATTATTGCGATATACATATTTTTCACCAATTTTTCGGTATTAAGCAAATGATAAAAAAAGAAATTAACAATTTATATCTTACATTTTGTCAAATATCTTGATATTATTAGTTTCATAATGATCATATATTCTTATTATATTTTAATTATACAATTGAAAGATTTTGTAAACATAAATAATTAGCAACAAAACTTCACATCTAAAACGTTAATTCAAAGTAAATGGAGGGAATACCATTGTGTTCTCATTTCATTTAGGTGGATACTGATTATTAAGAGTTTATTAGTGTTTTAACATTTTTATTTCTGTGAAATCAGCACCATGTGCTCTTTTGTTTTTTCATTTTTCTTTTTGGACTTTTAATTTTTATTGAATGCTAATCTTATACTACCTCCTATTTTTTTTTTAAATGTTGGTTTTATAAACTATTAACCAAATAAATGACGTTTCAAATCTTTTGTACATATTTTTTCATTATTAACCTCATTTAGCTAATAAATACACTACGTCTTTTCATATTCACTCTCCATCTTTTTTCAAAACATTCATTTCTATCTTCATTAATGAGGGTTATTATTGACAAAATTTTTTTTTTAATTACTGTGACTTCTCAAAACGACACTTATTATGAATAGGAGGGATTAATACAATTTTCCGAAACTTTATTATTTGTTTTTCGGGCATTTGACATTTGAGTGATAAATGCCCGGGTTTGACTATTTCTCAGGGCTTTGAAAGATGAACCATGCACCTTAATTAATCCTACAAAAATATTAGCAAATTGCTTGATATCCCTCATATTATCCTCAACCAAACGCAACATTAGTGAAATGTTAGTGAATTGATTTAATAAGGAATGTGATTGGATAAAAGGGAAAAATGGATGATATTTTTGTCCGAAATTTTTTTAGACTGCATTAACTATCCACTACTAATCAAACCATTCTTCCCAAACAAGTGATTTTTTTATGACACTTTTTTTCTCCCAACTAATTGATGGGTAATTTTCGCTGAATTTGCATTTTGGATATATCTTCCTTAATTTTTATCCATTGAGCATCTCCAATGCTTAAATGTAGTTGTAGTAAATTACACTCTACATTAACATATTTAGCAATTTATCCACTTTTAATCATCCAATGCACAATGTTATCACAAATGTAGTGATGAGGTGGACATAATTAATGTCTACAATGTAGAGAAGAATGTGGTTCATCCACATTCTCATTCACATTCTAGTCAACCAATGGAGAGAGGAGAGAGAAATATTATTACCATTTTTAATCTAATTATTTAATTCTTTTTCTTTCATATTTATAAATTTTTTTATTTTGAAGGCCAAGTAGATTATATTGTGTTTGATTATATTGTGCATTGGAGATCATTTTTTAGAATTAAAGTTGTAAAACTAGCAATTATCTTATGTGGTTCATAATCCATCTAATTAATTGACATTTGTCAAAAATTATGCAATAACAATATTTGTGCATTGGAGATGCTCTTAGTGGATATTTCCTGAAATGCCAAAAGTTACTGAACAAATTTTCCATCAACCTTAAATTAAAGAAAAAAAATAATAATTTTATGTTGGATAATATAGATTAAATTTCCACCGAAAATTGGATGAGCAAGAGAAAAATAATTTTTTTTTCCATTAGAAATTCCAGCAATGATATGGTGGCAGTTAAAATATATATAACCCAGCATAAACATAACAATTTTTCCCCATCTGAAGCCCAATAAGTAAATAAATTTTGGTGTATCAAACATGAGATCCCACAAGCTTCCCATTCTTTGGATTTTTATTTTTATTATTTCCGGTATAATGGTCGTTGATAAAGACATAATAGGTCAGCGCTGACGTGGCTATAAGGACAAGCATACAGACACTGCGTAAAATGACGCTTTTGTCCCACCGGCTTTGGAAGCTGGCCAAGTACCCGGCCTCGCAAGAGTCGCAGTTGAAACAGTTTCGGCCCACTCGTGCCCACAGTTGGCACTCGTCGTCCGTTGAGTTAAGCCCATTGGAAGCGGCAGCCCAACGGCCCGTATCGTCTTGCAACATACCACAACGTGTTGGTGGGCTGCAGCAACCAAACTGCCCAAAAAAAAAAAGAAAAAATGGACTTTCTTAAATTAATCAGAAGTTTCGTTTCAGTAAATAAACATAGAAAATATGTATAATTAATTTCATTAGTTCTGTATAATTGCAATTCAGTCGGGGCTCTTTTTTAAATTTCATTTTTGTCACAATTCATTTTTGTTGTTGGATCCTATAATGTCCAAATTTGGTGATTTTTTTCTGAATATTCTATGGTTACTAATTCGCTTCAACTCTGAGATTCCTCAAAATGCAAAATTTGAAGCGGAAAAAATGGATGTTATGGTGCAAATTATATACTTTACTACCAAAATATCATTCATAGTTTGTTTAGCAGATACAAAATTGCAAAACCAAAAGGTGCCATTACTGTTTTGTCAGAAATAAAAGTTGGTACAAAATTTCAAAAAGCATTGATTTATGCAATTGTGCCAAAAAAAAAAAGAAAACGGAGCGAGGGCAATTACGTCAATGAAAACATCTTTCTGGGTCTCCGTTTGGTTAGCCATAGTTCGGCACGTATCAATCTCCTTAAAACACGTCTTCACGGCAAACATGTCCTTATCGTTGGCCACCACTTTCCTCAGCGCCGGCCGGTACTCCGCCAGCCAGACCCCGCGCTCCGCAATCTTGTAGTACGTCACCTCCGCCGTCGTCCACGGCATCATCGCCCAGATAAAAACGCAGAAGGCAGCGGCAGCCGCCGTCCACATCAGCACCGCCCACAGGTATACAGACTGCAGGGCCCTCAGCCGGAAGCACGATCCGACGATCCCGATGGCCGCCACCACAACGCCAACGACGCCGGCGGCCTGCACGGTGGCGGCGCTCGGCCGCAGGCACGGGTTTACGGCCGACCGATCGCTCACATCCCGGGCAAAATAAATGTGGTACACTCCGAAGATTAGGATAGCAACGTTTAATGCGACCAGAATGTATCTAGAAAAATCCGACATATTTTAATATATAATATATATATATATATTATATATTTATAATGTTGTTGGAGATGGATTAATTTAATCAATTAATCCTTGATGAAAAATCTGTGTTGTTTTGATTTTTCTGGGTTTGGATAAAGAGGCCTGATCAAAATGAAACAGGCCTTTTTTTTTTGGGTAGGAAAAAAGGGAATTGGGGTTTTAATCTTGGGATTTTATGTTATCAGGGATTTGGAGACATGGACAAGTAGAAAGTTACGCGGGAAAGGGGTGGACAAAAGTTTCACTAAAACTGATGGTAATTACATGGTGTGTATATGCATGTAGATGGATTTAATGTGATTAATAAGGATGGGGAGCGAATTTTTTTCAACCCACTTGAAAATTTAACCACAACACGCAACAGAGTAGCTTAAATAAAAAATTTAATCACAAGTCACCAAAACGTTCATGTCAACCTCACAATTCCATAATCTGCATAATACACATCACAACCAGAAATCCAGTTCACAATTCTATCTGGATAAGCAAAAATATCAGGTAAAAGTATACAAGGTTCTCGAAATAACCAATTCCCCTCAACTCAGGGTGGGATTAATTTTCCGAAAATTCTCAATTCGGGACTCAATTTTATCTTTTTATCAAATCATGACCCGGTAACAAATAAAAACTGCGTACAAAAATGTAACAACAGGTGAATGGAGGGGAGAATTGTGGACTCACACAAGAACTCCTTGCTTATCATATACAGTGCATAAAAAGCAAGATAAGAAGAAAAAAAGCAAACTAAAAGGATAAACAGGGTTAATGGTAAGATACTACCCATCACAAAATAAACCATAATTCCTAGACTTAGTAACAAAAGGCTGGAAACTAGCAAATCATAAACACAAACCAAAATACCCAATGGTTCCGTTCCATCACAAATTAAGCCTAATAAACCAGAGATATTGATTAACCTGCATGCACACCATCAATGGCCCCGGGACTTGATCATCGTCTGCACAAAAAGCTTTGCCTTTTGAGCCTTCAACTCAAAAAGCCTCAGGTACACCTTCATCTCTTCAATCTCCAGATTCTCCAATGCCTCATCGTCCTCCTTATTTCCCATTTCCCCCTCCTTGTCCTCAACAGCTGGAACATCGCCTAGACCCCTCAACAACTCGGACCCACTTCCAATGCCGTTTTCTTTCTCGGCCCCACTTCCATTGGGGTTTTCTTTCTCGGCCCCACTTCCATTGGGGTTTTCTTTCTCGGACCCACTTCCATTGCCGTTTTCTTTCTCAGCCCCCCACACTTTCTCCNTGCCATTGGCTTTTTCGACCCCATTTTCTTTTTCAGCACCCCACACTTTATCCGAAAGATCGTAGGCTTCCTGCTCATGCTGGCTCGTAAAGGTTGGTCCTTTACCTTCCTGCTCCTTTCTCTTGTTGGTTGTGTACTTCTTTTTCATCTTAGACATCTTATCGCTCAGCTGCTTCCTTGTCACGTCAATGTGCAAATTTTCCTTGATGAAATCGTGAAACGAGTCCCAATTATCATTCGGTTCGGATTTCTTCTCGGCCCTAAACTGCATAATTCCGTTCAGGACGGCTATTTCGTCGCCCTCGCCCCATATCCTCTGGAACAATTGTTTCTTCTCAGATTGAGAAGCCTCGGCTTCAGCCTTCTTGCTGGTTTTCGACTTCTTGGTGACAGTGGGCTCCGTCCCCTTAACCTCCTCCACGGCCCTCTTTCTTGTAGATCTGGCCAGGGAAGCGGAGGCGGAGTCGGCGGCGGCCGCTTTGGATTTTTTTCTGGACTTCTTGCGGGATTCGGATTCAGATTCTGAATCGGATTCGGATTCGAATTCTGAATCGGTTTCGGATCCAGAATCCTCGTCGGGTGCGGCGGGCTGTGTGGTGGAAGGGG